CTTCAGTTTAGGTTTCTTTGGAGCTGAGTGAGGATGAATTGGATGAAGTTACCCAGTTTAGAGGATGCTTGGATTAGTGTGTGACTGTGAGGGATGATTTGGCTTGAACTGATGGGATTACTTGGTCTGAGCCATTTTTTCCGGTTCCATGGTCGTGTAATATGCCTTCATTCGTTTTCTTCTATACTCAAACTCTGTCCTGTTCTGCCCTTTTCTAGTTCCCATAGGAACCATTAACATCAAATAGTTTTCGAAAACCTTTGAAGTTTATGGCTGCATTTCTCTGTGCCCGATAACTGTCCATTTTTAATCGGTCTCTGTATGTTGTTGTGAATATCTGGCATGTCAATTTTGATCTTGCTGCTGTCATTAGAACTGGGATTGGCTAGTCCCTACTGTAGGAGTTCAATTTCCTTTGTCCATGTTGTCCATTTTTGTGTTATATTTGTTCTGTATGTGGCACTGTTGCACTGTGATGAAGTATATAAAAGTGCATTATGTTTTGACACACTTTGGGTTGGTTGGCCGTCATAATATCTTGTTGGTTATATATGTCAATTGGTGATCGCCATTTATTTCTGTCTCACTTACATTTCTATTGTTGCAGGATTTGAAAGAGATGGAATTTTTCACGGAGTATGGGGATGCCAATAGATATAAAGTTTTGGAGGTCATTGGAAAAGGAAGCTATGGAGTTGTTTGTGCAGCAATAGACACTCATACTGGCGAAAAAGTGGCAATAAAAAAAATACACGATGTTTTCGAGCACATCTCTGATGCTATTCGAATTTTGAGAGAAGTCAAGTTGCTTAGGCTGCTAAGGCACCCTGACATTGTTGAGATTAAGCGGATCATGTTACCTCCTTCCAAGCGGGAATTCAGAGACATTTTTGTCGTTTTTGAGCTCATGGAGTCTGATCTTCATCAAGTTATCAAAGCTAATGATGACTTAACGAGGGAACATCACCAATTTTTTCTTTATCAAATGCTTCGTGCTTTGAAGTATATGCATACAGGTAATGGTGTCTCTGATTTTTTTTCTTAAAATCAGGCTTTTGTCGAACTCTCTTTCCTACATTTCTTGTAAGTGAAACTTTTCAGCAAATGCCTGGTGGTAAGTTTCAGGTGCTTGGCAATCACTTTGTTTTATCTCTCTTATCTGGTTTATTTTGAATAATTATTCTGGTGTCTCATAGTTTTGAATCCGCATTGCAGCGAACGTGTACCATAGAGATCTCAAACCCAAGAATATACTGGCAAATGCAAATTGCAAACTCAAAATCTGCGATTTCGGGTTAGCAAGAGTTGCATTCAGTGATACACCGACGACAGTTTTCTGGACGGTAATGATTTCTGCTCAGTTGTTTACGAGGGTGTGTTGAGATTGGGCTCTCATTTTTCTGTGATGTGGCTTGTTCATATGCTAATGTTTCTCAATTACGTGTTGCAGGACTATGTGGCCACGAGATGGTATAGGGCTCCAGAGCTATGCGGGTCTTTCTTTTCTAAGGTTTGTTCCTTTCAGACTGTATGTTTGTCTTTATGTTGGTTTTCGTTATTTTGCGGTGGTTTTTGTGATTTTGCGGTGAAATACGATACAGTTGAAAGAAAGTGGCATTCCTTTTTCCTGGTTATTGTTAGAAGTTGCTGGACCTATTTAATTGCTTCACATGTTGGTTATGGTTTGGGATTCCTTAATAAAAGAGGCCGAGCAATGAAAGCTTACTGGAGCATATGAGCACATGCATATGCTCTACACCATAATCACATGCATATGCTTTACAACTTACAATTGTCATGAATGTGGAAAGATTCTATTGTAGAAGACTGAGACTTATGGACCTCATTTTGGTAATTCAGATTTGATTAGTTCATCAAATTCTTTGTCTGTTGAACTGTTCTGCAGAGGTCCAGTCATAAGAAGAATAAGGCCAATTTAGCTTATTCCAGGCTTAATTTTTAAACATTGAATCCAAGAAGGGCACCGCATTAGAAAATTCAAGTACTGAAGTCAGCATTGGCATACAAGTCATCTCTTTATGAAACTCATTGTTTGACCATCAAACCCTTTGATCTCCAATTTGTCATTTTCAGCTCTAGTTCGACAGTCAAACCACATAGCTAGCTCTGGTTCGACAGTCAAAACACTTATTCTCGCCATTTAGTATATATGTTAATCATGGGCTGATATTTTCAGAGGCAGATGCCATGAAAACTTTTTCCTTAATTTTAATCTTGCTATGTGCAAGATGATCTAGATATCTGAGGCATCTTTCACGCCTTGGGTGATTTGGTGGTCTAACATGAATAATATATCTATTGAAGCAAAACTGTTACCTGTGTCTATATGTTTGTATTCTACATGCAATAAACAGTAATCCTTAGATTAAAATAACTCTTGTTCAGGGAGGACTATGAAATGTCTCCCGAAAGTTAAAAATTTCTGTCGTTTTCAGGTAAATGGTGTCAGTTTAATGTATGTTTTCCGTGGGTGGTTCTGTTGACAGCCTCAACATTTGTTATCTTGCCCAAGATTTTCTAACTTTAACCGTGATTTTGCATACAGTATACGCCAGCAATTGACATTTGGAGCATCGGCTGCATATTTGCCGAGGTGTTGATAGGGAAGCCCTTGTTCCCTGGTAAAAGTGTCGTCCACCAATTAGACATTATCACCGATCTTCTTGGGACTCCTGCACAGGATACCATTTCCGGGGTATGCTAACATTCACTTCTCCTGACCATCTCTGCCACCGGCTAAAATTATTTGATATTGATGCTGTAAAACCAACACATTACTTTTCAGGTGAGAAATGATAAAGCTAGGAAGTATTTAACTGAGATGAGGAAAAAACAGCCTGTGCCATTTGCGCACAAGTTCCCGAGCGCAGATCCCTTGGCACTACGACTTCTCCAAAGGCTCTTAGCTTTTGATCCAAATGATCGGCCAACTGCAGAGGAGGTTTGCGTTTAAAGCCTGTACTAGTGTGTTCGTTTTGTTTGGGTATCAACGTGTTCTTATTATTAACAGTCTTTCTGTTGACATAGGCTCTTGCGGATCCTTACTTTAGGGGCCTATCGAAAATAGAGAGGGAGCCCTCTTGTCAGCCGATCTCAAAGTTGGAGTTCGAGTTTGAAAGGAGAAGGGTTACGAAGGATGACATCAGGGAGCTCCTTTATCGGGAGATACTCGAGTATCATCCGCAGTTGTTGAAAGACTACATGAGTGGGAATGAAGGCACGAACTTCCTCTATCCTAGGTTTGAGAAATCCTCCTTTGTAGAATTTCTAATTTATATTTCACAAGGTTGTTTCATTTGCTGAATACCTCTTTGTTGTTGTGATGCAGTGCGATAGGTCATTTCAGAAAGCAGTTTGCATACCTTGAAGAAAATAGCGGTCGTAGTGCACCGGTTATTCCTCTAGAGAGGAAGCACGTCTCTCTCCCTCGGTATGGCCTAATTACTGAGTTGATTTCAAATCTCTCACAACACCCTCTGGTTGGTCTCCTCACACTGGTCTCGATCCTCTGGTTTCAGGCCCACAGTTCATTCGACATCAATGTCTCATAACATACCGTCTTCAACTTCAGTTGACAACCATCAAGTAACAGATGAAGTCTCCAAAAACTTCAGGGGAACCGACGGTGTTGCTGGGAATGCTTCTAGGACCTTACGGCCGCCGCCTAGAGTGCCTACAGGTACATTTTTTGTTGTTGCCTCCTGGTTTGTACTAATGCCATGGGTTTGTCCTGGAATGGCTCGTCTATTAGCTAACCAGAGTTCATATGATCAAGTCTTGACTTTGCAGTTCTTTTCCTTTCTCCACTACGTGTTTAACATACTTCCCTTTATTCAGTGAATGCAGCAAAGCCCGGTAGAGTTGTAGGATCAGTTGTACCATGTGACAATACCAGAAACCTTGTCAAAGATGGTGTCTACGATGCAAGGAATGTGTACAGAAACACCACCACAGTATCTCCCCCATGCTTCTTCAGGACCACCACGAACTCCGCCCCAACGACGAAAAACAAGTCGTCCTTGATAGACGCCGAGCACCACCACACAACATCGCAAGCCAGGCCGCAGCAACCTCTTCATCAGCAGCACAACATGATGACGATGGGGAAGCCACTAGTTCCATCAGGAATAATAGCAACGGAGATTAACAACACTAACCCGTACTACCACCACCACCACCAGCAGCAACAAGCAGCCAGAGTGGTGGTGGAGCATCAGCATCAGCAGATGAATGAGCGAATTGCCATCGACGCGAAGCTGATCCAGGCCCAGTCTCACTATGGCCCTGCTGGCGCGGCTGCCATAGCTGTGGCGGCTCATCGGAATGTGGGGACGGTTCATTATGGGTTGTCTTAGACGGCGAAAGAAATGATGGAGGGTGGTGGGTTCGAGTTTAGCGGTGTGATTTGCTGCCCCCCCTGTTGTATGTATTGTTTACATCCTGATGTAAGTAAACCATTCTTGCTGCCAAGTTCTCATTTGTCGATGGAAAAATAATGACATTGATTGGCCTGTTGTAGTGTTCCAGGATCAACCTTCCTCTTAATATAGTTACTGTCCTCCACAGTCATCCAAGGGTCCAACCCTCTTCTCCTCTCCGCTCCATGATTATTGATGCCTGAGAAAGAATCGGGTTGTGTGTACTCTCTCCTAAAGCTGTCGTCATCATAAACCTGAAAGGGACGAAGGAAAGGGAATCTGCAGTAAAAGCAGGAGATCAGAAGCAGAAGGAGATTGGCCCTACAGTACTCTGCGACCCTCTCTCACACGCTATCAGAAGAACATAAATATGGCCACCGGTAACACACCATCTTTGTCAGCCTCTCATGCCTTGTTACATCAGTTGCTGTCAACCAAATTTTTAAACCATTTCCTACAAACACGTATCAGGAACGAAACCTCATTCCATTCACTTTCAACACACACTCTCCCTCCCTCTCTCTATCTCTCTGTATTCTCTCTCCCCTGCTAAGGAAGAAGATGGCGCAGCCGGAGGATGTGGAGATCAGCAGCGGAGACAGCGGCGGTGCCGGGCCATCCCAACCGATGATCGCTCTCGCCATCAAGGGCCAGGTGCAGATTTCTAGATCATAACTTTGTCTTTGTGCTTCTCAAAATGTTTTAGCGACCAGACAAACTAACGCTAGCCAGCTGTAACGATGTACCAAACAAAATTGCAGGATGGTGAGGTGCTGCATTTCATGGTGAATATTCACAAGCCGATCAAGAAGCTCCTCCTCAATTACTGCCAGAAGAAGTTACTGGATCTCAAACTCTTGACGTTCCTCATTAACCAGAGGAACTTCGACCACCGCAAGACCCCTGCCGAAGTAATTATCAGTCATTTAACTACTAGTACTCTACACGAAACTAAACTGAATTTGCTACTCTGATCTAACCAGTCGTTTGTTTGGTTTGATGTATGTTCTAATGTCTGTGGAATGTTGATGCTGTGTGTTTGTATCTATCTATACGCAGCTTGGGCTGAAGGACAGGGAGCTGATTGTTGTCGTGATGACCAACTATGGCGGCTGATGATCACCGGACAATGTTCGCGGCGCCTCCTACTCCCAACTTGGATATATGATTTTAGGAATCAAGTGTTAACTGTCTCACTCGCTAGATGGGTAGAAGCTTCTCTGATTAATCAATATTAACTTTGTGTACGTATATGTCTACTTTTGTGACTTCTACCTTGCTACGATCCTTGTTTTGCGATTGGCTTCTTTCATCGCCATTTCTGGGTGATGAAGCTGCACAAATCAACTGGTTATGCTGCAAAATCCATGATGAAATGGTCACGCTCGAATCAGTGATATGCTGCTGGACAATGATGAAAGAGCAACTTTGTATCTCTAATGTTTTTTTATCTGTGGTGGAAAAAAAATATACGAAACGAAAGAGAGAAGATGAATGATCGTACAAAGCAGTTTAATTTATTGATGAGTGACAACTCGATATGTATATCCATAACAAATATCGTATATACTTGTTCTTAGTTATCTTTTAACCCTCCAACTCAACTCCCATGATCATATCGTTCACATGCATACAATGTTGTATATGTCTAAATCCTCAAAGAATGAATGTAGGATTTCCCATTGAGCTCCCTGGCAAAGACGCCTTTGAAGAAATCTTCCACTAGTATTTTCTTGAACCTTGGTGGATTCTCATCAGTCACCAAGCTTTTGGCAGGGCCTATCTCTTTCTCATAGCTTGGCCCATAAAATGTTGCGATGGAGAGCCTTTCTTTCTCTGAATTCACAGTTGCCCGATGCTCAATGCTTCTATAAGCCCCGTTCGTTACAATCTGCATCCACACAACAAAGTCCTATTGTGTTAGGATATGAACAAGGTTTGGTGTTTAAGATGTATAATAGAGTAAAAACTCGTGTTCGCGGACCCCTGTTGTACCAATTATCTGACGGAAAAAAGTATTCTAACGATCCAATCGTTCTATCAGAATTTAAATTAATAGGTGATTTTTGTGTCACGAAACGATTGGCCACGATTAACTACAATTTCAACATAAAAATAACTTTTCATGATTTGATCTAATTACCTCGACAATGTCTCCAATGTTGATGACAAAGGCGTCGGGGAGGGGCTTGACGGAAACCCAATTGCCGTTTTTCCTGATTTGGAGGCCTTCGACTTGGTTGAGCTGGAGAAGGATGGTCAGGCCCGTGGCGTCGGAGTGTGGAGTGAGCCCAATGACTTGATTGGGCTGAGGGCATGGTGGATAATAGTTCATTCTCATGGATTGGTGGCCATCGTCGAAAAGCTCCCTCATTTCATTCTCTTCCATGTCTAGTGCTCTGGCCATATGGACCAAGATCTCCATTGCTGTTTTCTTCAGCCCCATTGAATAAGCCTCCAATGTGTCCCTGTAATAACAAAACAAATATAATTACTTATATGGTCACCAAACTTTGAATGCGCTTTGATTATTGTTCGAGAGGGAAATTGACCTTAGAGGCAGGGGAAGGTTTGGGAACAAGTGGGGTTTCCTCTCACTTGGCGGCTGAGTGACGAGGAAGAAGAGGTCAGCCCAATCCAGCTTCTGTTCATCGGACACCACGAATGCTTGGCCGAAGCCTTCTACTTCTCCTTCTCTCTGCCAGAACTTTTGCTTCTCTTCCATGGTGAGGTTGAAGAACTGCTCCACCTCTGCCTTCACTTTCTCCAGAAGGGCACTGCTGACTCCATGGTTGATCAACTGCAAAAACACCATCCATATATGGTTGCGTCGGTTTAGTCATCCTGTATATAGACTTTTTTCAACAACTCGAATTATTTGGATCAACGAATTTTACACTCATTATGGACATGTTGAAACTTTACACTCATGGGTCGAATTTCGTTAAAAGAAGTACTTAGTAAGAGAATAATATAACATATTAATAGTTGAATCTTTTTCTCGCAATAACTCGAATCACATGTCATCATGTCGCTTATGAATCCCCTGTCTTCATTCCAAAAGGATGGATAAGATTTAAATATTTAATCCTTTTTATTTTACAGATTTAATTTTATGCCTATAATTATATCAAATTCAAATGGGTTAAAGTTCACTCGTTGACCTTGCTGAAGGTATGTGATTGAAGCGTCCACAATGAAAAACTAATCTGATTTACGTGAGAACGGTAGGATTAAGGTCATAAATAAGAGATTAGTAAATTTGCAAATGATGGTGAAATGGTCAATTATGAGCGATTCCAATAAAAAAAAAGGTCAACGCTAATCAGCATGGCTTATGATGACGTAGACGTTAATCTATATCCTCCCACTTGCTGCTTAGCTGAACCTCTCTAGAGTTTAGAGTTAAAGGCATATATGCAACTTGATAAAATATCCAAGTAAGAGTGCCAACTACCACGTAACTCTATAATGATGTAATTCTTTTATTTCGAAATATCCAAAATTCATCCTAAAAAATAACCATCGTTATATTATATATGTACGCCTTGTATCCACAACATATCATCCCAATGAATTTCTTTTCATCCCCATTCTGATCGAGTATATCACATAGCCAGCAGAATTTATTATATATTGTTGTGAATGTAACATGCAATTTATTGTACAATAAATGGAAATCGCCAAAGTCCATGTATTCGTCACTTGTTTGTTTTGAGGCACGTACATGGCCTAGGGATTGACCATGTATTGTAACATGCAATTTATTGTACAATAAAATAAATCAATAATAATCCGAAGATTTGACGACGACGAACCTGGAAGAAACCCCAGTGGGTGGAAGCGAAGTGGAGCTTGGAGAGCTCAGAGGCCATGGAATCAGGCGAAAGCAGCTTCTCCATATCGATCACAGGCACCTCATCGTCGCCAACAGCAGCATTAATAACCGATCCGCCATTTTTTATATCATCACTCGCAGATCTAGTCACGAGCTCCTCCCTTTCCCTTATGTATCTTGGAGGAACAGCGGCTCGAGCGTTGTTGGATTTGGCCAACTCCTGAACACTAGGCACCAGAAGTGAGCTCCCGAGCTTGGAAGAACCCATCTACCTATGTCTCTCTTCCTCTACGTGTTTGTGGTAATGTATGACAGATTTTCGATGGAGATAATTAAGAAGCTAATTATATCTAGCTAGCAGTAAGATGGTGGTGTATGTAGTAAATAGGTTTGAAAGTTGGATACCAAACTGCGTTGTATATGGTTCTATTTATAGGAAACCGTCGATTAAGGTCATAAAACCTAACCTTAACCATGTTTGACCTAATAAATTAATTAATACGAAGACATCGATCGATAGTGACGATTTCTAGAAACGTAGCAACCCAGCAGTTGAATAATGGAACTTGGGCTAGCTGCGTTGACAAATCTGTTCCTCCGATCCAGCCTTCAGGTAGGTTTGGTGCCAATTTAATTTTTGTATCTGTCCACGATCGATGGTTGGAGTGGACGACTGTTTTCATCTATGCATGCAATTAGTCCTTGCTAACGAAAAGTATATCTTGTTATTTATGGATCAACCGACCTCCCTTACTTGAAGATGATTTAACACTTTTTCGCAATGATAATATTATATATACATAGGGTTGGATACAACCCATAATAACTATGTTGTAAGTTATTTATGGTAATTCGTCTAAACATATTATAGGGATTCTCTCTTATAGATTAAATTCGTTTTATTCAAAATCGTATGCGTAAAAATCTTCCTTCGGGCGAGATTGATTATTCAAAAATAATGACATGGACATGTATATATCGATCGAGGGGCCAATAGTATGTTTACAAATTTGGTATAAGACGAGTGTTTATATATTGATCAGGGTATGAATGTGCACAAGATTAGGTTAATGATGTGCGTATAAAGCTACCGTGTGTACAAAATGGTATGACGAGTATGAATAAAATTAAACTTTTGATATGTCGGTGGTTGCGCGTATAAAGCAACGACTAATGTGTGTAAGGAATGGTATGGTATGATGAGTATGTATAAAATAAACTATCAAAAGTATAGATGGTGGTTGTGTATCAACTAGGCCATAAATGTGTATAAATCATACAAGTGAATGGATTTTGTATGAACAAGGTGAGGTTGATGGATGTAATAGATAATTAACGACGAGTTGAATATGCTATAAACTAGACTCTAATTAACTATGTATAATTAAGCCGAATGATGAACGTATAAAGATATTGTTATTTGAATGTGTACAGACTATAGAATAAGACATTAATTTCTTTCTTACACCACAAAAGGTGGCAGAGATTTGGGTAATGTGCATGTCATGGGTGACTCGTAAGTGAAGTCATACGTTTACCAAACATATACATAAAATATGGAAATATGAAAACAAAACGGCTTTGCAGATGGATATGGATATTTTTTTTGTGTAAGAAAAAAGATATTCTCAACAGAGAAAACGGTGCAGATTATTCACCGAATAAAAAATAAAAATAAAAACGGTGCAGATGACATAACCGTGATGTCAAGATGATGAACATATTTGTCTTATCCTTTCCCACCTGTTGCCTGTTACCAAATGCCTTGGATTTGGTTTATTGTGGTCGAGTGTTGATCCAATCATATATATATCACCAATTATAAGGAAACGAGTTTGATGCAAAGATAGTGGTCAAATTCTAGTGGTCAAATTACATTGAGCGAATAAATTTAATGGATTTTTTACGAATAAAATAAAGAATTATAATCAATGAAATTTAGAATTCTCGCAACTCTCAAGATTTTCATCTCAATTTGAATAAAAATAATATAATTTAAACACAATTCATTTTCTAAATTTATCACTCCGAACAACAATAATTTAATTATTCAACCGTCTTAAATTTCATCGGTTTAAATTTCACCCATTATAACATTTATTCATCCAAACAACTCCTTCATTTTGCTTTGGCTAAAAGTTTATTATAAGAACCGAACCGGATGAACGCCTGGGCTAGTAGAACCGTCAAACCAATTATGATAGTGGTCCGGTTTATTACTTGGACGATTATTGATGGACCAAACAATTTTTCACAGTTCAACATAAAACCAGATGAACCACCGCGGTTCAACTAGTCACTAGTTCACTATTTTAAGCACAAAAGTTTTTAAAAAAATACTTTAACGTAAACTAAAACCATCAAACCATGATTATTTATTTTTATATACGTCTTATCATTTTTCAACCTTGTAGTCGTTTTTACGTGATCCACTACCAATTAGCACCATAATTTTTAACTTGAATTAAAAAACTTATGATTTCTTATGTGAGACGATTTCAATGATTTATTAGATATTTAGGTGATGATATGAATTATTTATGATCTTAAATTAGTGTAATATACAAGTCTTGTATGTTACATATCATGAGCAGTTCTATCAACGGTTAACCATTGAACCCTAAACCACTAACTTTTCCGGTTCAGCCTCCGGTTCGGTTTTGAAAACAGAAAACAAAGTAATGGGTTGAACATTTTATTTTGGTCATTTCATTTCACATACCATGAACTCAAGTCGATGAGTAAAAGTAATGTTATAGGAGTGAAATACAACCTAACCCAAAACAACTAGAGCATATCAATGATCAAATTAAACGCATCAAGTCATTCTATTTGAGAATGAACAATGAAATATGTAACTAGGGCAAAGATAAAATATGAAGGTCTAATGATGATCGGAGGAATCAAATGGTCTTAGACTCTAGAACATTGTAAGGAAGGGAAAAAAAATCAAACACAGAACATCCATCTAACACAGCATGAGATTGACAGTAAATAGAACAACACATGAGCAAAGTCAATGTGCTGCTATCCAAAGGCACCTATTGGAATTTTCATTAGTCAACAAAAGTCGATTTCATTCTGGAAAATGATTCATACCCACCGAAGAACACAAATGTCAACTCTTCTGGACCAACAACAAAAGTAAACCACTCCCTAGAAGGAAGAAAATTAAGAAAATTCAACTGTGCTGACATTTCACAGACTAACCCCACAGTATTAACTCTAGATTCTACTGTTAAAGGAAGAATTAAGATACAAATACAAGAGACTATTCTTGCCATTCTACATTGAGAAGTAAAACTTGTACCTTTGATGCAAAACATTAAGCAGACCGATCTAACCTAGTAGTAATGCGAAGATGAAAAGGAAATAAAATGCATGTCCTGAGTTCGAACCTTTAGCTCAACCAGTCAACCTAGAAACTCAAACCATCCATGGTGCTCACTTGCTTGCTACCTCCTCTGCTCTCCCCTGGCCACAATCTTGTACTTCCCTGTCCTCTGTTGCTGTAACAACAAAACAAACAGAGAGAAATCAAAGCTCCAACAATGGCAACTGGAAACAAACTGTATTAATCACAACCCACTTTATCTCTTTACAAAAAGATTTACCTTTTCCCAAAGCTCAGTATGCGTTCTGCAGAACCCAGCAACAATGGCTTCCTTACTCTTACTACCTCCATCTCTATACTCAATACACAACTCCTCCTTCAACCCGCAAGTGATATGAAAAGCCAGGGGACAATTCATTTCAGAGCACTCCATCACACACCCTTCCCTGCTTTTACAAACATAACACTTCTCCCTCCACCTTCTCTTGGGAACTTTAGAACAATCGATCCCTTCTCGGCCATCCGGGTCTTCAAAGAACACCTCAGGGATTAGAAGTGCGCACACTATGTGTGCCCACACGCCATCCCTTTTCGTTGGCTTCAACCCGCCGTCCTGCTTGGGGCAGAGGCAACAAGACAATGGGACCTTCTTTTTCGTCCCATCGGAAACAGAGCACTCTGCACAGAACCAGTCACCTTCAGGCACGCCATTGATCAATGGTGCACCGTAGCATGTTGTGTGGACCATTAGATCACACCCGTCGCAGAACACGATGGGATCCGATGGGTCTCCGTCCGTGCTGCCACAGACAGCGCAGAGGATCCCGTCTTCATCATCATCATCTTCTTCTTCACTGTCAATTTGACCAATTTCATGTTCACAATCGGCTTGGGCGGTTTCAGTCGATTGTGAGCTAGTAATTGGAATGGCTAATGTAAATCAGCATCGAGGTTCTAGCGTAAATTGAATGAAAACAAGAGTAAATTTAAGAGCTTGATTTCTTGAGATTCAACGCACCTCAAGACTGGGATCTTATGGTTATCTACCTGTCTCTTCTTCTCGTTCCTGTTATGATTGTGAGCTTCTTCGTAATCATACAGAGGGTCGTACTGAACATTCAAATCCAGAGGCAAAAGTGGTGACAGCAGCGACGGCTTAACTGAGCAGTCGTGGTCGTCGAGATCTGGAGGCTGAAACGCCCAAACCCTTTTCTTGGTAGGCAGAGAATAAGTGACTGCCGCAGCAGCTGCAGGACGAGGAGGAGAAAGAGGTAGAAGTGGCGGCTTCCGAGACTCAATCCGCTTCTTGGCCGGAAGAAGCTGCTGTGAAGAGGAAGAAGGTATAAACGGCGGGGGAATATTTTCTTTGCTTTCTTCTTCTTCTTTTTTCTGCTGCTGCTGCTGCAAGAGCCTGAACCTTTTGAGAGGAGGCAAAGTTTGAAACTGGGTAGCCATTTCTATTCTACCTCAGTTGCTCTGTAATTTCTCTTGCGGGATTGAGAGGGGAAGAAACAGAGGGTAGCTGATTTTATTAGGGTTTGGTTTCGTTCTGAATGAGATGCAAGATTACAAGCTATTTTTATCTAGGAGTTGGGGGGGTTTTGAAATTGGCGGCGGAGGGAACAAATTCGAAAAGGGCTCTGAAATCTCAAACTGAAAATGGTTTTCGGGGGCGCGACGCGCGAGAGATTATGGAGGGCACTCAGGGCAGCAATCTCTAATCTGAAACACTTCTCGTGGGACGGAGGGAGGGAACCATGAAATTGGTTTTTGCAGTTTTCATCTTTTCGCGCCAGATTCACTTATTTTTAAAGGCCGGCGGGAAATTTGTAAAGCAAAAATCATATCATGTGGGGCGAAATTATGCAGGGACTCCCAAGTTTGGCGTCTACTTACAATTCAGTCCCTTTACTTCCTTTCCATCAAATCGAGATCATTGAAGTTGTCAGAACATTGAGCGTATTTATTGGATTTCTGGTGCTGTCTGGAATGGAATCTAAGAGCAACAAATTGAAAGGCCTGATAAACTATCAAACAAAAAGCACTAGCAGATCACTGAAGCAAAACCGGCAAAGATCGCGACTTTGAAATACGAACCAAAGACTGCTGAGCATATGGATCAAGCTTGTCTGTCGGAAGATGGAAACTTTTTACATCAATCCTGGTCCTGTGATGGCACATCTCGTCTCCAGAATCCGGCAAGGACACTACCAAGGATGGAATGGCACACACTGGAGACTGCACATGGTACTGCAGTGAGTGGATTACCAAAGTGCTGAGTTGCAAGAACCACCCCAAGCACTGAGTTCTGCATACACACCAAAAGATTCAAAACGAAGATTAAGCACTCACATCTCCATATCATGAACAAGAATGGATACCAAACAGGAGTTAGAAACAGTGACAGGCCAGCTTAATAGAAACCCTGTTAACAATTTCGCATGATAATACAGTGTATAAATTTCATAAGATCTCTAACTACAACGTGAAAGCCAGCTGTTCTACAGTTCCAAATGCCAGCTAGGCGGGAATAACGACTCTTACAGGCCAACATTTAAACATTAGGATGAGCAATGTTCCACGCCTTTTCCAAACTGACGATCATTACGGGCCAGAATTCAAGCTATAGGGACGAGAACAGTCCGGCTTTAACTTCCATCTGAATTTCTTTTTTGATAATGTAAATTCCTTCTGAATTTCAATCCAACCCTTTCAGTAACACTGTTTTCTGTTAACATTCAGGTTGTGCTTCAGCTTCAGATCTGCATCATTTGCTGCTTCCTTTTCTTATAGATCCGATCCGACAAAGTTGGATGAAAATTCAGATGGAATGAAGTTGAAGTAGAACAGCATAACTCAACTAGCAGAGAAAATAAAACACGTTTTGACCAAGCAGACTAGGTGATGGTAAAGGAGGCAATGAATAAAGTCCATTCTAAGAGCTTCCTTCCTGACACCCATTGTTGGTTAGACATGGTGAACAAGCCAAACGTTCAACAGTGTTGATGTTAACTACCATCGCAAGGATCAAATGACTTACTACTAGAAGTCAGTACTGCTACAGCAAAGAAAATATACTGCTCCAGCTATCTGACTTTGAAGGAAGTTGAGACATATTTTAGGATATGAGCAGGGGACTAATTGCTTTTTACCTGCATGCCAACTTCAATTGAAATGGTTCTTGATGATGCCGTGTCGATTCCAAGGATCCTTGATAGTACAAAACCAAAGAAAAACCCAGATGCGTGAAGAAGAGATGATGCTAGCACCACTTGTTTGCCTGACATCATTATTGCAGAAGAGCTCTGGGCAATTGCATTTCCACATAGAAGAGCAACAGTTCCCACAGCAATAGGTGGCATCAAAGGAGAGACAAACTTCACCAGGCTTTGGAAATATTGATTTAGAAAGGCACCAGCCAGCACAGGAAGAAGGACAACCTGCATTTTATGGCACAAATTACAGAGTTACTAAAATCAGGAAAAAGAAAATAAATTACTTACCAATAAATGGTTCCCGCATTTTAACTGAATCAGGACAAATAATGCTCACCTGCATGGTTGATGTTAGCAATCCTGCTGCGTCCACAGCAACATATTGCCCAGCTAGTTTCGCTGTTAAAAATGGTGTCATTACCTGCAATTTGAGGAAAGCGAGATAGTATTTTGACTATTTTCAAATAAAACCAACCAAAGGCAAATGCTTCTGTTCAACACAGTAGAAACATCAATCTAGATCCATTGCTGGATTTGACCTCGAAGGTTTGTAGCATGCTAGTTACAAACTTAATATTTAGAACTTCGATGAAGTTTGTAACTATAAAATTTCTTTGATGTGAGATTCAAATCTGTTCTTATAAGTCTACAGATATTAAGAAGTTGAAAAGCAATTACTTGCTAGAACTCATGATTCAAGGAAATGAAAAGGAAAATTTCTGATCCTTGAACTGACAAGAGAGAAGGGAATCAAACACAAATTGCAGTAAGATAGATGGAAGTGATATCGAGCACCAACCACAGCTGTCAAAGTGCTTGCCGCTGTCATCAATACTGAAAGTGCCACATTCCCGCTGGATGATAACAACATTCTCACAATTTATGGATGCAGGAACATTATAAACAATAAAAACTGTGGGAAAACAGAAGATACAGTGAGCAGCAGAAGATTGTACCGTGCCATATAGGTAACAATATTACTTGCTGTCCCTGTAAACATTGAAGAATTCAGGAAATATCACACCCTGTAGAGAATGAAGAAACAGGAAATCTGACTTGTTTTCTCAAAGACTTAAAGTTATACGCACCACCAGGGCAGCAACCAACCAATATTAGTCCAGCAGCATAATACGATGGCAGATTTAAGATCTTGCTCACAAGAAATGCTGATATTGGCATCACCTGCAACCAGTATATCTCTTGCTCTTTCAGCATATAAGCACAGAACTTAAAAGCTGCAAAACATTGCATTGCTGACACTTCATAGGATGAAAATTTCATCAGTGAAGTAACATCTATTCATCTGTGGAAATCAAATGTTCGTTATCGAAAATAACGATTTCACATTGATTAAGTCCAGATTCATCCTTCTATCTCCACTCATGTTTCCCAATTCCATTGACTGCAGAAACCATGAGTTCCATATCATAGTGTCGTTTTGCACAGCTAAGCTTCATGGAAGCATGTTTCATTAACTGGTTGGAACTGTTTCCGTTACTAAAAATTCCAAGCTGACAAGTGAAGTGAAAGAAAAAGACATGAAATTGCTATGGATGTCCAGATGTTCAGGCTCTAGACTCTCCTATCTGACAAATCAAATTCATCAAAACCTCAGATGCCAGAACAAACCTTACTGTTGCTATCCTAAAAACTGCATCAATTACTTTACAATCATTCATTTTTCAACATATGACTTCTAACAAAGTCCTTTCTTTTCAGAAATGAACTTAACAAAGTCCAAAAAAGGGTGAAAGGGAGCAAGACAAACCGAATACTGGAGCAAGAACCCAGCAAACAACTGTTTTGGCATGGCCAGTGCATTGCTGAGATCATCTAAGGTAAGCGTCATACCCATACCAAGCATAGTGAGGGTAAGCCCAAAGATGGTCCATTTGGGCGTGACCCAACCGAAAGAAGCTGGCTTTAGAAGTCCCATCAAGCAACCCAACGATACCCATATCGGAAATGCGGTGGAAATCGCTTCGGAAGCAGCCTCAACCCATCCTCTGATACTGTTTTCCTCGTGTGCTCCCGAACTGTTCGATGAAATGCCGCAGTGGGCAACAGTTGAATTCTTCGACGACGGATGAAGCTTTAACTTATTGCTTGCTGGACCAAGCAACTTCGGCGGCGGATCGGATTCGAGCGAGAAGGACAGAGCGGTAGTAGGCGGATTTGTGAACGTTCGACATGAGATTGTTGCTGTAGGTGGTGGAATGCACCTATCATATGTAGTTGTCGCGCGTGGTCGAAATCCGATGTTTTTGGAAGACGAATAGGCGAGAAAAGACTGCATTTTCGCCGTTTCTGCTGCTCTCACTATCTGTCCAACTCCTTTTTGGCGCGTTATTCCATTAACGACCCCTTCACAAAGGATGGAAGGGTTTGCTTTATGTGTTGGTTTTGGTGGAGAAGAGAACGTGGCCAGGGGAACTAGGAAGTGAACTGTTCAGACTTGGTGAGAGAAAATGATGCACTGAAATAATTAATTCGATAATTTTTTTTTTTTTTTTTGACAAATAAAACCATCTTTTATTCCACCACGAAAGATAAACAAGCCAACAGGCTATTACAATCTTAAAGGAGACCAGAAATTAGATCAAGAATATTAATCCAGTCATCTGGCAGCAAAGATCTAGCTTTTGATCGTGCAACCCAATCAGCCCTGACGTTCAACTCCCTCGGAATCTCTTCCACTGAAATGGAGGGATTGTTCCTAAGGATATTGACAATTGTCCTAATCCATGATGCACATCTCCAGGGCCATCGTGACTGATCATGCTTGAGGGCCTTCACCAGAATTTGGCAGTCAGTTTGCACTGTACATACCGATCCATATTCTTGTGCTAATTTAATTCCTTCTAAGAGAGCCTTTGCTTCCGCTTCAATCGGGGTGGAACAAAGAAGATTATCAGCTCTCCCATCATACACTTGTCCATGGTGGTTAACAGCAACAACACCATAAGCCGCCGACTGGGGGTCGCTAAAGAACGACCCATCACATTGAATCACTATCGAGTGATTGCTTGGCGGGGGATTCGTAGTAGGGTGGGTTCCCCTGAGCTGATTGGGACCATCTGAACCTTGAGGTGGGGGCCTCGGGCAAGCCAACCATTCCGTCAGATCTCTGTACGCTTGTAGGCACACGTTTGGGGGCCAGGGAACTCTATTCTTAAATGTGCATTCGTTTCTAGCCTTCCAAATGTTCCAACACAGGAGTATAATATGAGTCAGTGAATTAGGGGGGCTTGTATCTTTGAGGGAGAAGAGCCAATCCAAGAAAGAGGTACCCTGAGGGGGAATCGGAAGGGATGGGAAAATGTTGTTCCATGATTCTCTCGCATGAGGGCAGTCGAACAGGCAGTGGTTAATGGACTCGAAAGGGTTATGGCATACTTGGCAACTCGGGTTAGGAGCACATTTTCTTTGGAAGAGTCTTGCTTTTGTTGCCAAACCATTTCTGGAACATCTCCAGATAAAAAACTTCAGCTTAGGTGGGATATTCAGTCCCCAAATCCATTTCCACCTCTCTTCGCCTCCCGTCGTCTGGAAATTGTTGTTGGCTTTGTGAACAGCGTGGTAAGCCGTTTTGACAGAGAACTCTCCTTCTCGAGTTAGGCTCCAAGCCCAAAAATCATCAGATCCCTCCTCCCCAATTGGCACTTTAAGAATAGCCTCTAACTCTTCCCTCGTTACATGACCTTGGAGTAAATCCGTGTTCCAGCTTCTACTGACTGGGTCTATCCATTCCTTGACCCTCAGGTTCTGCTGGGGGCCGCTTCCGATAACAAAATTCTGCATGCTTGGAATCCAGGGATCTTGACCACTCCAGGTATCCTCCCCTGACCCGATTACTCTAATTGCTCCCATGTTGATAACCTTCTTAGCCTCCCAAAGACTTGCCCAGATATTAGTTAGTATATACTAACGAATCTTCAAGTTAGCAGAATAACTAAACTGAATATTTGGCCAGTGATTTTTGCCAAAATGCCAAAACAAGTAAAATTAAAGGTGACTGATTTGGTTATAATTTTTCTATGTTTGGCTCGATTTCTAAAAAAAAGGTTGATTTTAAAAGGTTAAACAAAGGCCAGATACTTGTAAAAGTTCGATTTTTAAAAAGTTAAAAGTGTTATTAACATAAAAGCAAAAGATCTGATTATAAATTTATGCAAAAAGTTGTTTTGAAATTATAAGATTATCATTCTTATATTATCACTCTTATGTGTTATCTGGATACTAATTATGTGTTGTTTGTATACTATTCTGTGTTGTCTAGATATTAGTTTGTGAATTTGGGATAATAGTTGATTCATGGTGGATATCAGTTAACAATAGAGGTGGCCATTGGATCGGATTCGTGGATTGGATTGGTGGATCCATGGATCAAATGGATTGGTGGATTGATCCATAATCCAAATGACATCCAAAGCTTGGACCAAAATGTAAATTTTGAAAAGTTTAGGTACTAAAATGTCATAATGAAAAAATTTAGGTACCAAAATGTAATTTTCCAGTGATATTTTTCGTATAAAAATATAAATTTTAGGTACCAAAATATAAAATATAAAAAATATAGGTACCAAATTATAATTTGTCATTTGGATCCAAGGATAGATCCATAAATTCACCAATCCAATTTGGTGGATTGGATTTAAATGGATTGGATTAAGTGGATAATTTGGTGGATGGATTGGATTGGATTCATGGATTTGGATCCTAATAGCCACCTCTAGAATCAAGGGATGACGGAATGTGTATATTAGACCTGCTCTGGCTGAGATTCTGGAGGAAATTTTTATATTTAGGGGGAAAGGGTGAAAAGATTGAATTTTGTGGAGACAATTTTTTGGAAAGGGGATTTGTTGCTTTTGTATTTGGAGACAATTTTTAAGAACTTCTACAACTTTAACGCCTTCTTGCACCGTGTCTTCACACTCAGGAATAGTCATAAACTCAAGCTTCAAATGACTAATGGGAAGTTGGAATCACACAGATTAATTGAAAGAATGTGAAAGAAGGTAATAAGAAGCATAGGAAATTTGGAATTGAAAAAAGAAAGAAAAAACTGAGTGGTATTGCCATTCGCCTGAGTATGCAATATATAAGGGAAATGGTTTGGATATGGAGAACTGAATACACTGGGCTATCTGCGTAGCAAAGGAAGGAGGGAGGGGAGCTTCAAGTCTTTTTGTGTTCGTTTAGCAAAAGCACTGATTTCAGAATCTGGATCTGCATTGTCATTTAGCCTGTTCTCAATGACCTTACGCACACCATATGGCATTAAACAAGAGGTTTTCTAAAAGCCGCGAAACACAAACCCTCCATTCAGTGGTTTCAAAGATGAACACCAATAGCAGTTCAATTTCACCAACAACGGGAAAAAAACACATCAATAGCAGTTCAATTATACCAGATAGATTCCATGTGAATGCGGCTTTGAAGCGCTGCCTACCAACTTCGATATCCAAACGAATTGGTACCAAATTCTCAGACGTCGGCCTGCAAAGAGAAACTAGCTAATGTTTGGTGGCAATAAAGGTAAGAAATGCCAGAAGAGCTGGGTGTTTTGCCCCCTCCTTACATTTTAAAAAATTTGGTCGATGGCACATGGCAGTGGTTTCATCTTCACGCGAGATCTTCTCGTCTAGTATGTCTTCAGCTCCAACGCACTCCCAGTGAAACATGAATCAAACCAGAAACAACAAAACAATGAGTCCACTCCCACCAGCAGAGCCAAATTGGAGAAGCACAAAGAACAGACACACAGATGTCTACCACAAGAAGAACATCCCTAGTCCACTCCAGGTATAGAGAAGGAATTTGGGAGCGTTGAGAGATAGATAACGCCAAATCGGGAAACCCCCAAAGAAAACGCGTTCCTACTTCCTAATAAACCTAAAAGTTAGAATCTTTCATGACAATAGGCGACTGTAAGTCTGTAAATGCAGCCCCGCCACCCAAAACTACATAGCTCAACTGCTCAAGCGCGAGAGGAGAAGGGCAAACAAACAGAAACGAGTAAGGGCAAAGGCACAGATACGAAATTAGAAAGATAAACAGCCCGTAGGCCGTACCGTGCAAAATCTGGACAAGGGCGGTGCGTCGACCAGCGGAGGAGATTGAAATTAGAGCAGCAGCGGCAGGGGCCCGTCTCGCCGGAGGAAAAGTCGTTTGTGTGTTTTGACTTATTGAACTTGGGCTATCAGCCCACGTCGTCTTGGCCCAAGAACGCAGCAGCAACCCAGTTCTGCCACCAGCCCATTGAGTCCCATGCTTGTGTGCTTTCTTGTCCGGATTGTTTTCCCTAGTCGAGACTCGAGAGACTAGAGTAGTAAGGGTAAAAAACTTTATGTAAGATGCCGATCATGATTAAGACTTGATCAATAAGATATCAGTTGGAGAGTTGAGCTCTCGCCTGAGCTAGTTCCGTCAACTGAAAATATCACGTAAATTTTGTTTCGCTTTATCGTTATTGCTTTCTTTGTTTTTCTCATGACTCGCCAAGGAATGAAGTTGGGTGTGACAATTATTAGGAATAATTATTAATATTCAAATAAGCCCCTTTACTTTGAAGCTTTCGATAAGTTAGACCCTATACTTTGACTTTAACTTACAAACCCTTGAAGACAAAGTAGGCACGTTGCTTCATTGAATACGACGACGGGGGCAGTGTGGCAAATGTTGGTATTGATGGGGGAGAAATGTGAGCTCCCGAAGTTAAGTGGACTCGTCTTACGATGAGAGAGGGCAACCCTTACTCCAGAATTATCACCCATTCATCATCAACAACATAGTCATCGGACATAGTAATATAGTGAGACATAGTTTTAATTAATCCAAACGAAATTTCATGTATAATTCAAATTGAAGTAAATACGACATAGAAAGATAAAAATTGGTGGATGATGAAATCCAATTGCTTTAGATAAAATTTTCACACATTGAATTTCTACCGAAAGATCTTTCAACGTAAAAAAATTCTCATGTTTATGATTTCATAGATACAATATTGAAACATTTCATTTAATTTTAGCTTTTCTGAATATATATAAACTTACGGAAGATCATACATTTTAAAGAAGAGATGGAGGACAAAGAGGAAAATTTATATAGTTTTCTCTATTCAGTATTTTTATACTAAACCCACAAATTCAAAATTTATTATTTATCGGTATGTATTTAAGAGGTAGTTATACACAGTTCATTAATATCGTCATAAAGTGTTAGGTAAAGTGTGTGGTCGACAACTCGACGTGTGTTAGTATCATATAGTAATCCATAGATCTGGTTTGCCTCAAATTCATTCTGGTCCCTTTCAATATAATTGCCCCCCGGCCCTTTAATTATTGTGTATGTGCCCCGAACACCATATAATTAAATATATTCACCGCCGGCCAGTCGGCCACTAAACCCAAATCATTAATTCCACCGCCGGCCAAGTAATTTCGTTGCGGTGGAGAGTTTCTCTCAGTTGTTTAATGCATGTCTACTTCTTTCCTATATGTTGACGGTGCCCTCCAGTTACTCACTGTGTCTCTCGATTTCGCGACTTGATGGCTCGTCAATGAGCTCTGGTTAGAGTTTTGTTATTTGATCGAGATTCAGTGTCACTAAAACTACTTCTCATTCATAGCTAATGAAATTGTAGTCTTGAAGTTCAATCTAGATCACTTGCTTCAAAATCACAAACTGTGAAACATGTCAGTATTGAAGGCGTTGGGTTCTAGGAAGATGTATGTTTTTTCCAAACTAATAATGAGATTTTTCTACGTAGAAATTATTATTTCGGAACTTGAAGAGTCAGTGAAACTATGGATGGAAATTGGTGCGGATTGGGTTATTCGCTCGACATTTTCTGTTAATCACATCTACAAAGTTGTGATTATGCTAACCACAAACCACACTATATATATAGTGGTTAGCGGGTAATTGCTATACCCACTGCGGTTTTGTGCGAATTTGTTGTGGTTACCCTCAAAAAATCATATTTGCAGTCATGGAGCTGCGGCCGCCACCAATGAATACGCTATTCACAAGTAGACTATAGTTATATTCGTTAATCGACTTTCGTGTCAGAACGAAGAAAGAGATGAAAATCTTTTGCTTTACAAAATGCAACTTAATTCCACTCCTCACATATAATAACTTTTCATTTTGCAATGAGTTACTTTGTGGGTATGGTGAATTTAAAGATCAATCAAAAGTTTGTCAGTCTAATGTGGTTAGTTTTGTGGGTTAACCGTTGTGGTTAGTGATTAACTACTAACCACACAATCAAGATTTTGCTAACCATACACAGCTCACTACCCAAAAATTATAGATATGGTTACCCACAATATAAACGGTTTGATGCAATTTACGAGTTATCCACAAATCGCAAATCAACGTACTTCTACCCTTAAGCGACACGAGAGATTGAATACAACTTATCAACCTGCAGATACCTTACTAAGCACACCGTATCCATCGTAGTACTGGTTGGTGGCGCAATTTCCACGCAGAGGACTGGAGAGTATGTTGAGGGAAACGGTAACGTTTCCATGTAGATAGGGTAGATAGGCTATTGGTTCATGGTTGAACCGGTCAGATAGGTTTAGGAGTTAACCAATGTATAGATTAGTTGAGTTGTAAGAGTCATATATAAAGGGAAAGAATCCCTACTGTACAGATACGATTTCCAGTTTATTGATTCAATCTATTGAGAATTTGACATGGTATCAGAGCCATCAGGGCGTTCTTGATTCTTCTTTCGTTTCTTTGCAATTTCCTTCGATTCATTCCTCTTCTGCAACAATGGCGTTTGCCAATCAGACCTCTGCTGTCCCACCGCAATCGTCGATTCCTTCGTCTGTTCCTCCGCTTCCGCACTCCACTGCTGGCGATCTCGATCCCAACAGTCCATACTTCATCCATCCAGCTGAGAGTCTCAGCCAACAGTTGGTTTCTCCCGTTCTTGACGAAGCCAATTACTCCACCTGGCAGCGCGCCATGATTCGAGCTCTATCAACGAAGAACAAGCTGCAATTCCTCGACGGCACCATCGCGAAGCCTGCTCCTGGCGATCCTCTCTTTCGTGCCTGGTCAAGAAACAACACCTTGCTTCTTGGATGGATCCTTCGCTCTGTCTCTCCATCGATTGCCCTAGGGTTCCAATGGTTCGAAGACGCTCTCCTGGTCTGGAATGAGTTGCGCGAACGCTTCTCTCGCGGCAACAATTTCCGCATCGCTGAGCTTCAAGAGGATCTTTTCCGATTCAAGCAAGGTTCGCAGTCTGTAAGTGCTTACTTCACACAGATGACTACTTGGATGCATGAACTGGATAATTTCTTGCCGATTCCTCCTTGTCGATGCAATGGTCTGTGCAACTGTGGTTTGGCTATAGTCCGTCAGAATCACCAAATCAACTATGTGCTTAGGTTTGTTAGGGGACTCAATGATTCTTTTGCTGCTGCTCGGTCTCAGATCATGTTGATGAACCCTATGCCTAGCCTAAACCAAACCTTTGCTATGATCATTGAGCAAGAAAAACAGAATCGCATCTTAGCTCCACCTTCCTTGCCTGATTCAATGGCGATGTACTCTAGAGGTTTCCCTCCTGGAAGGAATCAGCCTTATCCACCGAGATCCCCTTATCCCACTCCTAATCCTTCCACTAATCCTCAGCCTCCTCATCCTGGTAGCAATCGACCATTCTGCACTCATTGCCACTCTTATGGGCACACGGTTGACAAATGCTACAAACTCCATGGTTTTCCTCCTGGGTACAAAGGGAAGGCCAAAGCTCACTGTGTCACCACAGAGGATGGGTCTTCTGATGATTCCACACATCCAGTTCATCCTGCTATTCCATTTCAGCCTCAAGAATGGAATCAAATCCAAGAGACTTACCAGAAGATGAGTCAGTTTATGCAGTCTCAATACTTCCAACAGCAGTCTCCTTATTCTGACATGGGTCAAGCTTCTACTTCGGCTCAGCCTCATCCAAACTACAACGTTCCAACTGCTACTTCTGAGTTTCCAGTCACTCATGGACTTCCTTCTGCAAGTCAGGCTTGTTCCATCACCACTCTTGCTCCTCCCACACCAACAGGTACATTTTCTGTTATCCAATCCTCTTGTATGTTAGTTAATACATCGCCTAAATGGATACTTGATACGGGCGCTACTGATCACATAGTTAGTTCACTAGAATATCTTGATAATTATAGGACTGTTTCCCCAGCATATGTTTATCTTCCTAATGGAGATAAAGCTCTGATTACTCACATAGGACAGTGTCGTGTTTTTCCCTCCCTTCCTTTACATGATGTTCTTCTTGTTCCTAGTTTTACATTCAACTTAATCTCTGTAAGCAAGTTGGCAGCCAAGGTAGCACTTGGACTGACCTTTGCTCGTTCCCACTGCCTCCTACAGGACCTTCAGTCACTGAGGACGATTGGTATAGCTAATCTTCGCGATGGCTTATACCAACTGGATCCTCATGCTGATGCCTTGTCACCCTCACATTTTTCCAACTCTGTTCAGAGCTCCTCTACCTCCCAAACCAGCATTGATCTCTGGCACTATCGTTTAGGACATCTGCCCTATACCAAGTTTTCCCTCTTGCATTCCATAGATCCTGTGATTACTATGAATAAACATTTTCATTGTTCTGTATGTCCCTGTGCAAAACAGAAACGCTTGTCATTTCCTATTAGTCAAACTGTATCTGCTCACTGTTTTGACCTTCTACATATTGATATATGGGGTGCTGCTTCCACTACTTCTAACTCTGGTCATCTCTATTTTCTAACAGTAGTCGATGATTGTTCTAGACATACATGGTTGTTTCTGATGAAATCAAAATCAGAAGTTAGGCCTTTGTTAAAATCTTTCTATACATTCGTTTTAACTCAATATGACAAGAAAATTAAGTCTATTCGAACTGATAATGGACAAGAATTCTTGTATAATGATTTTTATACTGAACATGGCATTTTTCATCAGCGTACTTGTGTTCAAACTTCCCAACAGAATGGGATTGTAGAACGAAAACACCAGCATTTACTTGCCATGACACGAGCATTACTTTTTCAGTCTTCTCTTCCTTCCACTTATTGGAATCATGCTGTGAGTCATTCTGTTCATATCATTAATCGTCTTCCTTCT